AGATAAGGTAGCGATGGTGGCATACACTCCCTAGTGCAGATCATAGATAAGGTAGCGATGGTGGCATACACTCCCTAGTGCAGATCATAGATAAGGTAGCGATGGTGGCATACACTCCCTAGTGCAGATCATGGGTAAGCTAGCGATGGTGGCATACACTCCCTAGTGCAGATCATAGATAAGGTAGCGATGGTGGCATACACTCCCTAGTGCAGATCATGGGTAAGCTAGCAATGGTGGCATGCATACACCCCCTAGTGCAGATCCTGAGAAAATTATGCAGAGGAGGTAAATATCGAACGACGGAATGTCAAATCGACGTCAAAAAGCAGCGCGCAAAAATGCGGCGGTGGCTGCCGCGGCGTCACCTACGTAGTTTGCCTTCCCCCCCAATTGCGTCAAATGGTCTCGCGGTGGCTGGGACAGCCCACCCGTACGTTTTACGCGGCGCGATCGCATCACGAGCAAGTGGGGGTTTTGTTTTGTTTTTTATTTATAGAAATACTGTGGGCGGGCATTAGAGATGTAGTAGAGCTTTGCATTAATATGGCTGGCATCAACATTTGTTAATTATAGATCAATCAGATTTTAAGCTATACCTGTGGTAAATATTTGATATTACTGTTTACATCGACATTTTCGTTATTGATTAATATCTGTTAAGTACTGTCACGTTTTTCTCGGCGTTTGCAGCAGACACTCCCGCGGAGCGTCTGCATCAGCGCATCTACAACGCCATGGTTACGAGTACATTATTGTTTTTCTCGGCGTTTGCAGCCGACACTCCGGCGGAGCGTCTGCATCAGCGCATCTACAACGCCATGGTTACGAGTACATTATTGTTTTTCTCGGCGTTTGCAGCCGACACTCCGTCGGAGCGTCTGCACCAGCGCATCTACAACGTGACGGCGATGAGCTTCACACCGGCAGAGCTGGCCGAGGCCATCCGAAACTTCATCCCCGGCTTTCAGATGACGTACAAGGTCGACTCGAGACAGAACATAGGTACGCGTGCGAGCAGCGAGAGGGAACTGCGTTCGAACTCTGTCTCGGACTTCGTTTCCTATTTAAACTCGTTAGGGCGTGTCAGGTGTAGCGCGTAGAACATGGGTTCTTAACCTGTGGCCTGTGAACCCCTTTTGGATCCGTGGATGGGCTTCAGGGGGTCCATGAACCAGGCGCATGCAGAATTTTGTGTTTATGTGCTTATGTGCATTTTTCTGGGGAGAGGTTCGTAGCTTTGGGAGGGGTCCATGACTCAAAAAAAGGTTAAGAACCACTGGTGTAGAAGGTAGCGTGGATCGTTGGTGAACGTACGAGGTTAGGTGCATAGAGTCTGCTGCGCTCGAGTGTAAAATTGCATCTGAATACTGAGATCAAAATGGCTCTGACGTTACCATTCGTATTTCTAGTTCGGAGCGAGGTGCTACTAAAGCAAATGGGGTCGTTGTCGTATCAGGTACTACAGATATGTACCCGAGGTAGTTTCAGGTTATTTAGTATTATGTTTATATTTTTATATGAGGTATGTTTAGGGTTAGGGTTAGGGTACACTTCTGTAGTACAAGTCTGGTACACTTTGTGTATACATATATGTACCTCGGGTACATAACTGTAGTACCTGATACGACAACGACCCCTTGAGCGCTACTAAAGGGCATTGTTAAGGTCAGATATAATAATTGTTGTGGGGAGGAGGAGGGGGGTCACTGAATTGAGATCTGCTTTACAAACAAGGCTGGAAATGGTCAGATATATTAATTGTGGGGAGGAGGCGGTGGTCTCTGAATTATTGTCAGATCTTCTGATTAACGAACAAGGATGGAAATTCAAATGAATTAGCGCCGTCCGTAATCTGCCACTGGTTAGTAGCTGCACTAGTCACTGCATTCGGTGATGGGTCGTGGTAGAGGGACGGCATCTGTCGCAATAGCCACAAAAGTAGAAAAAAAGGAAGTAGAAAGTGAAAGTAACTGAAAAGTGTAGATGTAGTAGATGTCAGAAGTAGCAGTAGTGTGTGGAAGTAGTGGAAGTAGCTGAAATGGAAGATGTTTGGATGCAGTACGTCCCCCTAGGTGCATCCATGTGCATTTCACCCGCTCTATACGTACCTTACGACCTAGATGGGTCTTGGTAGAGGGCTGGTGTCTGTGGCGATAGCCGAGAAAGTAGAGAGTCAGGCCACAATTAAAAAAACATTTGTTTGCCTTCACCCGACCCAGGCTGAAAAATTTGGGTAGGTAGGTAGGCTTTTTTGAGGGGGGTCTTTTTACAAATTCAACATGCATGGTGTCTACAAGCTCAGGTGTGCTTGTGTGGAGATACCTTTTATGTTGAATGTTTGTTTTGCTTGGTACATATAATGTATTGCCTACAGATATATATACTGTACAGTGATACAATTTGTAAAAAAAAAAAGAATGGAAAAGATCTTGAAAAATTTTTGAGTCGGCCCCTTTTTGCCGGGTCGGTCGGGTGAGGGCAAACAAACAATATTTTTATTATGGCCTGAGGAAGAAAGAAGGTGACCATATGCAGTATATCCAGTGTATATGCAGTGCATCTATTCACATTTCTTACCTGCTCTATACGTACGCATTACGTATCACCGTACGTCTCTCTCAGACTCTTCCTCACTTTCACACATTCTCACATGCTTATAACATCTCTACCTCGGGTAAAGATATAAAGATTCAATGTTTGTTGCACACTAGACTTTTATTACAGCCGCTCCACACCGTTCATAATATTCCCCTTTCTCCGATTCCCCGGATGTTAACGGTTATCGTATATGCTGGAATCGGTTATAAGTAAAACGCGGATCTTACGTCAAGACATTGCAGTGCTCACGTTCGTCTCTTCGTCTGCCGTCCGATTTCAGCCGACACGTGGCCGAGGGTGTTCGACGACTCCAACGCGCGCCGCGACTGGAACTGGAACCACACCTACAATCTGCACGCCCTCTGTCAGGTCTGCCTGGAGAAACTCGGTCACAACCTCTCGGGATCGGAGGTTCACGCCGTCCGCAGCTGAGTGGGACGGGACGGGACGCTCGGGGCCGGGGCGTGTCCGCCAGTAATTTTGTTATATATGTATATATATATCAATGCGTATGTTAGAGCTATCGTAGCACCTGCCGGTCGAAAAGCGTGGAGTCGATTGTGATACATGTGGGTACGTAAATATGAGCAGAGCACGTGGCTTGTGTATTTGTGTCTTCGTGTGTGCGTGCCGCGCGTGCGTGCGTGTGTGTGTAAATGTCGGGGGGGGGGGACTTCTAGAGCACGTACATTCCCAGAGTGCAAGTCGGATATTGGGGTGTAAAACGCCACGTGTGATATGTGAGTCATATTTAAAAACCGTGTAATGTGTATTCGCGTCTTCTTTTCGTCGATTATGGTTACCGTACCTTGCTGCTATTAATAGAATTACAGCGCGTAGGCATTAGAGATTTATTAGAGCTTTGCATTAATAAGGCTAGCATCGACATTTGTTGATACATAGATCAGTCAGCTTTTAAGCTATGTACCTGTGGCAGATATTTGATATTACATGACCGTTTTTTTTCGTTATTGCTTAATATTTATTTTACAAAGGTTGTAAAGACTGCGTCGCACGCATTGTCTTTGTGTACCGACAGCTTTTGTCTTCGTTTCAATTCCGTGAAGGCTGAGCAGTGGCATTTGCCATGTTGTTGTTGTCATGGTGATCTGTGAGGCACAATATCTCTAGAAAGCAGGGATTTTCAGTGTTTGGATTTGAGATGGGGGATCGAAATGGAAAAGTAGTGTCTCGTCATTGAACATGTGTCGAAAGTCGAGTGACAGACTACATGTAGTTTCTCAGACATGGTGGAACAGGCCCAGTGAGAAACCTGTTTGATTCAGCTATGAAATATTTATATTTGTACCCTTATTTGACATGCGTCTATACTGATATGGGAAATGTATTCCCTTTCTATAGGTGTTACTTTCTTGTTTATATGCAATAGGAATAGAAAGAAAGGTACAAAGTACTTCATGTATTCTGGATGTATGGTAACTAATACTGGAAGCATACACCTTAATCATTACGATAAAGACCAAAGGACAGAAAGTCGACTAGTTTTAGTTCATGTCACTATTTTTTATTTTTTTAAACTTATTTTGAAGAACATAAAATCTATGTTTAGCTGATGGTTCTCGATTGATAATTTTGATTAATAAGTTGATGATTTCTTTAACTCTCACAACAACAAAATTGGGTAAAATATGTGGCTACAAGTTTCTGGCTGCATTAAACCTGAAAAAGTGAGAATTTATCACTGTAATTTCAAAATCTAATTTAGGTATAATATTTCATTAGGGCACCTTAATTGGCACTATAATAATTTTTTATGCATGTTTTTTTATATTGCTTGCTGGAAGTATAAGATTACAGTTTAGCTCTTAAACACAAGCACTGGGAAGGAAATTTTTACATTCATTTCTCTGAACTGTTGCAATTTAAATGTTGCAGTGCAATCCATTTGCTGACAAATATAATCTAGCTCAAAGACGTCTGCTTCAGGCTGGAAACGGAACTGGCATAATTTTGATAAAGAAGCAGATATCAAAACAGAGATGGGCATTTATTTACCCTGTACTGCTGATTGTGGAATCTCATGGTGGTATTAATGGGTCTAATTACCCCAATGTGATTTTTGATGTGTCACACACACAGACAGCTTTTGTGATTAGTTCCTCTATATCAATATAATTGAACTGTGTTGGAGAAAAATGGAGACCTTCCATGATTTCCCTTTGGTTAAAATATAGGACTTTCATGTAACCACTTATCACCAGATCTCAAATCAGAACCCACGTGTTCGTCTTTTGCGATGCATATAATATTTGTGCTTCTCAAAAAACATGCATGGCTGTAGGTAACTGTGTTCTGAAAATTGTTCACTTTGTACTTTTTAATGTCGTGCAGGTGACTAAAAATTTTGGAACAATAGTGGATTTGTGTATTAGTCGTTTAGTGCAGTTTAATTTTACACTATTCAACACGTACATAGCACTATAGTAAAAAAGGTATGGGTGGTATGTAACTTCAAATGTAAGTCGTATGTTATTTGCTCGCTTGCTTGCTAAGCATATGCTTGCTTGTATATATTCTCTATACACAGATGAATGTTGACACTTGGATATTACCATTATTACTGCTAAACCAAGTCAGCTATGTGTATTTTCTAGAATCTCTTGAATGACACTTATGATAGGTGATATTATATGGTTCACTATTGTGATGATTGTTGTAGATTTAGATATTTTACTAGGGGAATTAACGTTTAAAGCAAAAAAGTGTTACTCTTGTATGTGGGTGACACCATTCCATACAGGTAATGGGTACACAGTAAGTGTAATGTTGATAATAAAAAAAACTCGATTTTATCAATTGTTTTAGTTATGTTGCTTCGTCTATAAAGCCCCTTTTATATATGTTTTGTGTAAAGCGAGGCACTCCTGTGTTAGTTTGGGAGTTATCATGATAGGAGTGTTTCCGTATATACCTTGGTCATTTCATTTTTTTTTGCATTTTCACATTAGATTTTTGGGCCAACCCCCAAAAAGTTTTCCCAGGTAGTTAAATACACTGATCTCATCAGCTCAGATCTCTCATCCCACCAGATGATAGTTTGGTTATTGGTCCAACTGATAGGGAAGGAATAGTGTTGTTGATTGCGTATCTAAAAAAAAGTCTGCATATTCTAGCATTTTAGCAGTTAAATAATTTCTATGTACAGGTGTAGCGTTTTATGATCTTCCGGCGAGACTCGATGGCGCATAGTGATTATAGTCACAAGTTACCTTCTTGCTTCTCACTATGTGGAGATTCTGTAGGGAAATAGGATTCGAAACTGTCATCCACAGTTGTGCGCAGATAACACACCGATGTAAGTTCACATTATTATGTTACATCTATGTGACCCTCTCAAGTCGGTGGTTTATATTACAACAGATATACACGAGAAATACATAAGAAAATATACTCGATCTGTAATTACTTATTGAAACTGAATTCATTAGTTCTTTGTCATAATATGACACACACGATACATAGATGTGTAATATCCAGAGAGACATGATACAAGATTGCGTGTCACAGCTTTGCTGTTGATCCTGAGCGCTGCGCGCGGATGAGACGCGCAGTTCCGCGCCAATTAACCACAACAACACACCCAATATGTGACAATCACATGTTATCATCTTATTCACGATGTTAATTGTCATTGACAATATCAAAGATCACGAAAAATGTAATAGCTAATACTAATAGTAATAATTACTACTAGTACTAGGCCCTATTTATACAAAATAGCGCATGTAACAAACAGTGAAACACAGTGCAGTGTATCACTGTATGTACACTTAGCCGTACATGCCTAAATTATCTCTTCGAATAAATTGAACATCGCCATCATTATACACTTATTCATCTTCTGCATCGTTATTTTCATCGTTCTTCTGCGCGTAATCGTCACTTTAAAATTCAAATACGAAATACGAAATCTTCACCATTCCTTTCGCATGCTGCAGCAGACCAATGTTTACATTCCTGTCATTGTGAGGGCGCTGCAGTCGTTTGTTGGCGTCAATCGGTTGACGAATCAGCGTTATTTCTTGATACACCGCGGTGTATCCATACATCGCGTCAAGCTAGTACAAAATAGATACGTTATATGTGTTCAAATAGATAATAGCGTGTATGCTATTTAGATTTAACGTCGAAAATTAATTTTAAAAGATTGGAAGATGTTTTCGATCGTTTATTATGCTACTTGTTTATGAACTAGATAGCGCGCACTGTGACTACTTGGTGGCGTGATGCGGCACGTTTTCCCGCCATTCGATCACGTAGTCTAGCTGTTTAGCGTGTATGGTGTAGGGAGTTTTCTGCCATTGTGGGAGACGAAAAGTACAACGCCCGAAAATGGGCCTCTCGGAGGATGGAGATATGAATATTGAGGATAGATTCAACGATCTATGCCTCGAGTTGAACATGGACAAGGCAACAAGAGACGAAGCGTGGCTTTCGTATCAAAATATCAGCCAGAATTTCACGTTGGAGGTGAGAATGTACAGTACACTGTGTATCGTGTCCTACAGTTGGTTATGCTGTCTTGTCATTCGACATCGTGACATAGCCATCGGCATTGATTTCGATCGATCGCCTTTTGTTTCCCCACATAAAAATTGTTTTATCTGTAAGAGTAGATCAATTAGGCTCATTTGTAACACGATCTCTTCCAAGTAGTTTGCCCAGCGCATAGTTTTATTTAGATACAATACCGTATTCAATAATGTAACCCAACAAGAGTAAGGTTACCCTACTCTGACTCTTGTGTTGGGGTTAGCCTACATTATTGGAGGGCCTATCTAACTTCTAAGTTTTATTGTGCAGTGTTAGGATCGCGTGGAAATTGGATCGGGTTGTTGTCTACCAAATCTGTTGGACCATATCGTGGTTATTATTCCTTACTTATATACGTTATAAAGTGACTTTTATTTGTAGTATCACTATCAGGATTGCTAACGTTTAAATTGCTTCATAATCATGTTAGAGATAGGCCAATGCGGGTAGATATAGTCTATTTCTTTAAGTATATAATGCATTAATAACATATGAATAGGTCCTGTTTCATTATTAGAATTACTGTTGCATTAACACGTACATCAGAAGTAGATAATAGGGAAGGAGTGTGACTTCAATAAACAATGGAAATTCGTCATTTACTAGCCTTAGAATACCTACGATTTACTACGCCTAACTCAACCAACATGAGCTCAAATCGTACACAGTACATTCGCCTAGCATCGTGCGAAATCGTTTCCTCGTATACACCCGCAATCCGGAGATACAGACTAAAACGTACGGCACGATTTTCCATTATGTTGCCAGCAAACTGAATGTATAAACCGCTTAAATTGAAACAAAAGGCAGCTACTAGCGAGCCACCGCATCGCCGAGGAAGCAAGTGCGCAAGAGCTGCCTTTTGTTTCAGTTTAGGCGGTTTATACTTTCAGTTTGCTGGCAACAATGGAAAATCGTGTCGTACGTTTTAGTCTGTATCTCCGGATTGCGGGTGTATACGAGGAAACGATTTCGCACGATGCTAGGCGAATGTACTGTGTACGATTTGAGCTCAAGTTGGTTGAGTTACGCGTAGTAAATCGTAGGTATTCCAGTCTGCGAAATTAACCACTGGCCCGGTATCCGTGGCCAGTAAATTTACCCTGGGGCCAATGAACAAGCCGATGAGCCAGTGGGAAAAAATGGAGTAAATATTCTATTAATGATATTTCAGCTTCTTTATGTGATGATCAGTCTGAGAATTTACCGAAATTCCCGATATTTTGTACGCAGAGGCTACGGTTACGGTAGCCGTATCTTAATGTCTCGAGGCTACGGGTACGGTAGTCACACTACGCATGTCCTGCTGCCGCGTATCTTAATGTCTCTAGGCTACGGGTACGGCAGTCCCACACACAAGTACAAACAGTCCCCCTAACCCTAACCCTAACACTAACTATAAACCAACTCGGCTATCTTATATACGCGTGTAAAAATAGATAAATTAATCTATGGTGTATAACCTTTTGCTTTCAATATTTTGCATCTGAACTGACAATCAATCCCAAACAACTAGTGTAGGCTAGCTAATTAATTAATTATTAGGCTGGAGATTAATTAATCGTGAATTAATTTCCAACGGCATTATTTTGTGGGAAAGCGACGCATGCGCAAATGGACTACCGTACCCGTAGCCTCAAGACATTAAGATAAGGCTACCGTACCCGTAGCCACTGCGTATTATTTTGTATGAAATTTTACCGATATTTACCGATAGGGCATCATATTCCCGATCTTAAGTAGGGGAAGTAACTAGTCAACACCATGCGTGTTTGTCGCTGCTAGAGGTCGCAACAACTTCCGGTTTCCGGTCCGGTTCGGTTTCTCTTTTCATAATATGATGATCATTGATTGGGGCCTGTAAAACATAGTGTGGGCCAGTGAATTATACATTTCTACAGGCCCGCTGGGCCAATGAGGGTGGAAGTTTTTCGTGCAGACTGGTATTCTAAGGCTAGTAAATGACGAATTTCCCTTGTTTATTGAAGTCACACTCCTTCCCTATTATCTACTTCTGACGTACATGTATGCGTATCCAGCATGTACATGAATGAATACAAGTGTTCATGAGGTAAAACATCAAGATTTTTATGCCACGCAATGTTATCATTATTATAAATCTAGTACGGTAGTACTTGGTGTGTGTACAGATACAAATTTTGTTGATGTGTTGTAAGTGTAATATAAATCTAGTCCAATTGGTTTACATCCATCATATCGTCAACTAGTGTTGTCAATCGGTTGTAATTTCATAATCGATCATCGGTTGGACCCAAGTAACCGATGATCGGTTACAATCGGTTACTCGGGGTGTTGAATGCCTGCGTGTGCGTAACGTCGTGTGCATGTACGTGTGTGCATGTATGTGCTTGTTTAGCCCTGTTTACTGTTTGTTTTGCACTGTTTGTTTTTTTTCGATTAAATCGATTATGGATTTTGATAACCAAGCGCTTGGTTCGAGCCACTGTTCAACCGATGATCGAGTATAATCGATGATCGTGACATCACTAAGCGCTTGGTTCGAGCCACTGTTCAACCGATGATCGAGTATAATCGATGATCGTGACATCACTATCGTCAACTATAACGATACCTTACATGCATTCATTACAGCGTTTCAGCGTGAGTCGCTGACTAATTCTAAACAAATAAAAATGCCATTCTGATCTCACTGGGTTTAATCTCTTACATGTTCGAACATGTCTGCGTTTCAGGGTGATACGCTGCACTGGCTTGCCTGCGCCCTGTACGTCGCATGCAGGAAGATAGTCGTACCAACTGTTGGCAGTGGTGTACAAGAGGGAAATGGTGTTTCTCTCACACAACTGCTGAGACGTGCAAAACTCAGGTATGTCTCACAGTATGACGCAGGGTGCGAAATTAACGGGAGTCCGGAGTCAAATTTGACATATGCAGGAGTCCGTGTGACTCCCTGAAAATTCTGCTATACTAACTATAGTTCGTTCCAGAGCACGGCTTCGCGGAATTACCGTATTTTTACAGCAAATGTTCAAAGAAAATTTGGCAGACGTGCATCGCACGAATCTTCAAAATAAGCACATGCGTTACTGTTGTTACGCTTTAGTTTAGAATTTCCGACTGCGGACTCTCATTTTGCTACGGACTCCCCTCTTTTTGAGGGCAGGTAGTCCGTTTGTTCAAAAGTTAATTTCCACCCCTGATGACGTACGTAGTTAATAATACTGTGAACACAGGATTCTCCACCTCCCCCAGGAATTCGTGAAGGCATGTCGGGCAATCGGGCATTTCATCCCCGATTGCTAATTGGGGTATATATGTCATAACTGGCCCTAATACGTCAATAAACTTTATCACTTTGAAGATGTATATATATAGCAAGCTGTGAAGACAGCATGATTGTGTTAGGATTGTCCACAGTAAACACAACTGGAATTTATGGGATGTCACAAATTTGCTTCACTCTTGAAGGCATGTCAGACCTGACGTGCAGTAAATGCCTGGGGAGAACGTAGAAGAACATTGTCTCTTTCTTCTTTTATAGATATATGTTCATGGTGATGCAATTGTATATTTACACATTCTGTCATACTTACATTATCACGTGTGTTCTCATTAGCTGGTTCAGTCTCGATGTGTAAAGTTGAGAGTAGCAGCGAAGTATGACATACAAAATAACTCTTACCATATTGATTGCCCTGTAATTTTGTTACGTGTTGATCAATATGGTAAGAGTCGTAATATATACCGTAATATATGCAATATATTACATATATATCTATGTATATGTGTGTATAATAATACATGTCGTGGTGAGAGTCAATGTGGGTAATATGGTCATTTGCGTATGCGCGAAATTTAATCTTCTGCTCTGGCGATTTCAGTCTCACGCAGTTTTTCAACAAGATGAAGAAGTGGGCGGACATGGCGAATCTGCCGCAGCGATTCTGCAAAAAGGTCGATCGACTGGAGCGTGTTTATGCCGTTTCCATGGTGATCTTCAAGAAGTTTCATCCGATCTTCCTGGACATTTTCAAGGATCCGGCCGACGACGCGCCGAGGGCTCCGAAATCACGCAAGCAGAGGTACGCGGTCACCCACCCGCCGCTAGGGGACACCTCTATAGAAGGGACACCTGTCTATAAGGGACACGTTTTCCCTAATTGGTCGTCATGCAGTGAAACCATCTCTATAGAACAGTCACTTGTCTGTAAAGGACGCTTTACGCATTTCTATTGGGTGGGAGTGATAAAGTGAAACCACCTCTGTAAAACAGACACCTGTCCAGGGTTCTCCAAGCTTTTTCATTATAGCATGGCGGGTGCTGCCTTTACGGTCCTAGTTGCAAATCGCCGAAGGCGGTTTGCGTGCTAGGGGGGTCCGGGGGCTATGATATTTAACATGGCGGCTATGATATTTAGAGTGGCGGGTGCATTTTAGGATGGCGGGGCTCGACGATAGCCTGGCGGGCCGCCAGGCTATAAGTGCTCTTGGAGAACCCTGCTGTCTATAAAGGACACTTTCAAGGCTTTTATTTAGTGGCAGATGTGTATTAAAGCATCCATTATACAACAAACAACTGTCTATAAAGGAGAATTCGCTCATGGGCAGTCGTGTAGTGTTGCAACCTGTAGAATGAACGACCTTTGTATAAAGGACAGTGGCGGTTCTCCCTGGGCGACCCTTGTATACAGGTCTGCCGATAGTATACTGCACGCATCGCCTGCAGCCAAACCAATGCAGGTCCCTTGAGCAAGACAGTATTAGTATGTGGATAGGTTTGTTTTGACCGTGAAGGCAAGACTGGTTTGGAGGATTTGGTGGGTTCAGCCGTCAAATAGAGATATCTACCAGAAAGGTGGATGATAATAGAATATATAAGGATAAGGTAGAAGGTGAAAGAAGAATTGGGCTTAAGATAAGATATTGCTTGTTTCCCCTTTACCGACCGAATCGCCAAAACGCCACTACTCGACACATTTTATTGGCCGATTTATAAAACAAAAGAATTTTTTTTTCGTTTCACCACAAAAAAATCCAAATTCGTTTCGCAAAAACATATACACAAAACAGAATATACAATATACATACACATATCTTGTCAAAACAAAATAAAAAAGATCTTTCATCTACCTACCTACTCGGTACCCTGAGAGGCGAGTAGGTAAAGGGGAAACAAACAATTTTTTAAGGGTGGCCTTGTGGAGGTGGAGATTGCACAACAAGGTCACGGCAGAGCTTTAGAGGGCTGTTTCTTTTTCTGATGTTTATCAGTACTCGACCTGTATTTTGTTTTTGTTTTTCAGAAAGCCACCCTGTAATTCATCTGAGCTTTTCAAATTCTGCTGGACATTGTTTGTGCAAGTCAAAGGTAAGAACGCTGTGGCCATTTTTCCAGGAATATACTTCTAGAAAAAAACTGAACAGTAGATCCGCATACACGTACTGATCCTAAACTAATCGCGAGGTGTTATCGTTTCCGCGGTAACCGTAAATTGGTGACAAATTTTTCTCGTTGCTCCACGTAGAATCGAAGAGAACTCATCCATTTCGAATTCAGAATTTGAATAACATTGAAATAATTTATAATAAATAACATATAATGAATAATGTAATTTTCGAATGACGTCTGAATTTTTCGTTTTTTTCGTCAGGGAGTTTTCCGGCGATTAGCGACGACCTCGTTAACTCCTATCACCTGCTGCTCTGCTGCATCGATCTTTGCTATAGCAACGCACTGCTGGCGGGCCGCAAGGACATCCTCAACCCGAATTTCGCAGGTAAACATTGCAACAGATGCCTCGGGGGGGGGGGCTACGGGAGATCGGCTTGGAGAGCTATGAGCGATCGCGTTTTGGATCTTAGACCGTTAGTGGTTCTGTTCCAGCGAGTAAAGGTCGAAAGAGTTGTGGTCGAAAGATCTGTGGGGTCGGGAGGAGCGTGTTGGTTTAGGAATCGCATCAGATAGGCTGGTAGCTGTGGCTAGTGGTTTAGGAATCGCATCAGATAGGCTGGTAGCTGTGGCTAGTGGTTTAGGAATCGCATCAGATAGGCTGGTAGCTGTGGCTAGTGGTTTAGGAATTGTACCCGGGCAGGCGGGTAGCGATGGGGGGGGGGCACTCTGACGTAACAGTTAATAGGCTGAATGCTTGCGCCACATTTTCCCGGCCGGTGGCACCGATGGCAGTGACACTGGATACAGTGACACCGGCCATGGTGACACAAGACGTTGTGACGCAGAACGCTGTGACACCAGACAGTGACACTGTGACACAGGAGTGTGTGACACCGGTAACACCGGACGCTGGGATTATGTCGCTGTCGCAGCGCGACCCCCTTCGCGCGCCGCTATCCGACATTTGCGCCACAGAAATTCCCCTGTTGTATATCCGCGCACTAAATTTTATAATAACCATACATAAGAATGTTGACGCTAGGTGTCGCCCTCGTTGGCTGAGAGAAAGAATAAAACGTGTTTCTTAAACTGTGTTTGTCTCAATTGATTCTACGGATTATACCAGAAGTTCTAAACTATACAATACCACATACGTTTAGGACAACGTATAACATAACACACACTATCAGACATGCCAACATTCAATGAAGCCAAAGAGTAATGATTTCTAAATTCCTGGTTTTGA